TGGCATCTTTTCGTAATATATCTGTAAACTTTTAATGGAGGTTTAATCTGACGCTTTACTTCAAAACTAATTTATAACTTTCTCCTGTAATATTAAATCTTTTTCAGTAACGAGCTCTTGTGTTTCACTCACCTTTTGTCCCTTTCATAATCTTTAATACAAGCCCAAACGATCAGTCTTTTGTCACTTGCTTTCCATATGTCTCACTTGTATTCTATGTCTTGCACATATGTTTCTGTAACTATTTCCTTTTCCAACAGATCAGTCATTGGACTTGGTCTCACTACCTCCCACTGTTAATCCCTCATTCTGGACAGAATTTTCCCATCCCTGATGTGACATGAGCAATGGCGAGAAAGGTGGGAAAATACGGTGAGAATAAAAATCAGAATCGTGAAGTCAAGAAAACATTTTCTGACATTCTCCTCAGGCCTTAAATGGCAACTTCAGAATTTCATAATTGAGTCGCACCTCATTAAAGCCACAAAGCAGCTTTTATTTATATGCCGCCTCTAACTCTTCCTTTCTTTCCTGAGGATGTACAGCCGAGGTGGACTGGTCATGGGAAATGCAAGGTTATAGGGATAGCTGTGGGGGTGGTGGGTGGGCAGGGGGAATGCTGGTTGGGCTGCTCTTTGGACGGTTGGTATGGACTCTGGGCCAAATGGCCTGCTTCCACTCTTTAGGTATTCTATGATTCTATAAATCTGACTGCATATCGGAAGCTGCCAGTTGCCAAATTCTTGTCCCAGTCATTATGCAGCTGTTTCTTCACAACAATATTCCTAAATGCACTGTGGCAACCATCCTCCTTAATCTTTCATCCATGCAAGCTGGCATTGGCAAGCCACCAGCCTTACCACATCATGCCTGCTTGTGGATCAACTCCAGCACCACTTCAGCCCTTCAGTTCTTTACTTTGGGGCTCAGGTTTGAATGAATGGTTATGAGAATTGCTGATGACAAGGAAATAAATTATGATGAGGACTTAAGGAGGCTACAAAAAAAAACAGTGAGTGGGCAAAGCTCTGGCAGATGAAGTATAATGTGGGAAAATGTGAAATTGCATGTTTTGGTAGGAAGAATAAAAAGGAAAATACAACCTCTTAGTGTTGAGATAATAGAACCACAAGATGCCAAAAGATCCAGGTGTCCTTGTGCATGAATCACCAAAAGCTAGTTACAGCAAGTAATAAAGAAAGTTGATAGAATGTTTGTTATTTATTGGTGTTTAGAGAGGAAGAAAGTAATTTGATTGAAACACGTAAGATCCTGAGGGGTCTTGACAGTGTACATGTTAACAGGATGCTTCCTCTTCTGGGAGAATCTGTAACTAGGGGTCACTGGTGAAAAAATAAGTGCTCACCCATTTAGAACAGAGATGAGACAAAAAATAAGATGGTGGAAGCAGAATCTTTGAATATTTCCAAGGCAGAGGTTGATGGCTTCTTAGTAAACCAGGGACACAAATGTTGAATTGATTTTAAAATCAGAAAAGCCATGATTCTTTTGAATGGTGGAGCAGATCTGAGGGGGCTGAAATGGCCTTTTCCTGCTCCTTGTTCTATATTCAGCAAGACCTATGACTTGCATGCTTTCCCGAGGTTGTTTTCTACACAGGGACACCCTCATCTACACAGCATGCACTTTGACTCTTAACTTGCTTTCTTTGCACACTGTCTGTGCTTACTTGGGCTATAAGCCTCTGTATACTTCATGTTGCTTTCTTCGTATACACTCAGTGACTTCAGCACTGTCTTGAGGGCTGCTATCCTCGGTATGGATCGTGTTGCTTAGTGCATGGGGTCTTTGGTGCTCAGTTACAGGCTGCCAGCCTCTATGGTTTTGCCTTGCTTTTTACTGCAATTTGTGATGGGCAGGGAATACGGAACAGTCATTGGTGTGGACATGTCATTTGTGGCACCATGTTACATTGGCATCACACCTGCAGCATGTGTCAGCTGCTTATCTGATCAACATACTGCATGTACTGCAATCAAATGATGATGTGTGAAAATCCAAGGGGAGCGGTTCTTAGTGGGGTGAACAGAGAGTATTGTTCATTAGGCGTATCACCACAATTAGTCAAGGGATTCTTCCAATTTCAGTCTGTGGAGTTGGCCAATGTCAGTCAGGCACTTGGTCCAATGGGCAGAAAATGGAGGATGGGTTGGGTGAGAGCCTTTGGAGATGATGCATGCAATACTGAGAGCTGTAGTCCGCAAACCACCAGCTGTCTGTGTAGAAACAAATTCCGAGTCAGAAGTGGCTCTGAGTGAGATGTTGGCAGTGACCCGTGCAGAGCCCAGAAGATCAATGAACATGTTCCTGCACTGCTGGCTATCCTGCCTTACTGGAGACGCAGCACTGACTCAGACTTGCAAGTTGTACCTATGTTGGCTACAATTGGTCGTATGGCCTCCTGTGTTAACCAGCTAGAAAAAAGGACTGCCACCAACCTTCACAAAGATCTACAGACACATTTCGTTTCTTCTGGCTATGACTTGAAATTAAAGCAGTCGTTTCTGGCTTGTAGCATCTGAAGTGGTGTGCACCTGGCTTTCAATGTTCACGCCACTGGCACCACATCTGAAGGTTCAGGCAGTTGTAAGCATGTCCACCTCTCTGGCTGTGCCATTTACCGAGAAAGGTACCCAAGCCCTACTGTATTACTAATGAGGTGAAGAGCAAAAGGTTCCTTGTGAAGTGTTGCTCCAAATCAAGGTGGACAAAGCGCAATGAATCCCATTTGACAGAACATTTCAATTGAAAATGAGAAAATTCTGCTGTCTTAGTGTTTCTCCCTTGTGCTTTTATGTTTATGAAAGCTGCATTTAGAATGTGACTTTGGTCCGATACCTTTGGGACGCATTCAGCAAAAGTTATTTGGGCATTCTGATGTGCAAATTAATATGCTATATTCCAATTTTAGACCAAGGGAGTTGCACCTAATCTGTGCCATTGCCATAGTTTTTGTCCTCACTGTTTCAGGTGACCATTTGGAAATCAGTACACCATTAGTTTAAATATAGAGGAGGGATGCTTGTTTCCAGATCCATCTGTAAAATGAGGTGGAGCCTGTGCTGAGATTCATTTCCTCGCCTGTTCCCAGTCTCTCACCCAAAGACGTCTCCTCAATTCTAGCGCTTCTCATCTCCACCTATAACCCCATGTAGTAATCTCGCAATTTCTGACCTCTGATCTTGTTTTCTTCTCCCAAGAAGCCACGATCTCATAATCTCTTCATGTCAGTGCCAGTCCTTTGATGGGAGGGAGACATCCTGATGTTGGGTGGTCACTAATGTGGCACATAATGGAAAAAGGTGATTCTGCCATATTATTAGATGTAAACATAGGAATGGAGCGGCCCATTCAGCCAGTCAAACCCGCTCTCTTCTATTTCAGTTAGGTCATAGCTGATCCTCTATATCAATACCATTTTCCCAAGTTATTTCCATTTCCCCAATTTTATCAGTCTCCAGAAATCTATATTGATTTGTCTTGAATATGCTCCATAGGATTGAGATCCTAAAGCCCACTAGGGTAGAGAATTTGAAAAATACACCACCATCTGAGTGAAGAAATTTCTCCTCATTCCTGTCTTAAATGGCAGACCCCTTATCCTGAGATCATGTCCCCTGGTTTTAGACCTAAAGGTAAAGTCGCTATAGTCCGACTAGACCGTGGGGTTGGTCTCCCACTGAAGAGAGAGATGACTGACTATGGTTTAACGTGAGGGTCACCACCCCTCAGGCGAGAAGCGAGGTTGAGAAGGAGGGTCCTTCGTGTTAACCTCAGTCAGAGCAGGAATTGAACCCACGCTGTCGATGTCATTCTGCATTGCAAATCAACAGTGCAGCCAACTGAGGCTTCTGTCTACAATCCCTAGACTACTCCTTTTGTTGTCTGTCTTTGTGTGATGTAGGATGCACTGAAGATGTAGCTTGCAACAATAAATTATGATTTGTTTTATCAGTCTGCAATGTTGTGATTTGATATGTAGCTCAAAAACATTTAAACACACCTTAATTTTCAAATGGGCTATGAGAAAAATGCTGTTTCCAATTTGCAGCTTTCTGCTTAAAGATTTGAGAGAAGAGGAATAACCGTTCTCAATGTTATCATTTATAATTGGATTTTACGGGAGCTTTAAGCTTTTCATCATATTTGTTAATATTTTAGATAAATCTAAAACTATATCTCCAGGTTTATGAACGATCTAAGTTATGTGACAAAGCAGTAAGCTGTGTAGACAGGAATAGAAAGATAGAAGGACATAATGGTGAAACTAGTAGATGGAGTTCAGATTGAGGATATCTCCTTTGGATGTGAATTCGATTTATTTTCTTAATGATGAGAGACTAGAAGCTGTGAAGCGATCAGGTGATTTGATCCATATACATGTCACTACATGCACAGGAACGAAAGGAATAATCAAAAGGACAATTAGAATATTGGCCCTGGAAATGACAAAAGTGAAGAAGTGATGTTTTCATTGATCAGATTCCACTTTGCCACATCTCATGAAAGGTATATTAAGTAAATGAGAGCCAAGTTTATAGATGATCCATGATCTAATTAAATGACAACTGGATTGAGGGGCTGAATGGAATATTTACATTCCAATTTTATCCCCTTCTGTCAAGGTCTTCTGTTCTGCTATCTATACTCTATTGCCTCATTCCACATTTTCAGTGCCTGATGTTGCTGTTTACCATAACTGCAATCTAGAACCTGTGCTATTTGTGAGCAACATTGCAAATGATCAGCTCACGCAGAAAAAGGAATAAAATGCATCATGTATGCAATGCTTCAGTTATCTGCTTGCTGCATAGCTTTATTTCTCCCTCTGTTTGTACCCCCATCTCACCCTCAACTGTCTTCAACACTGTCCAGTCACTTCTTTCTAAGTTTTAAAAAGTGGTGTGTTTACTTTGCATTTAAAACGCTCTCTCAAAATGCATAGAGCATTTAATTCTATTTTTTTCCCCTTTTTAAAGAACAATTATACAGAAGATGGAAGTCCAGCAACAACAAATTATATGACTCAGGGAGATAAACTTCGTGCCTTAAAAAGTAGGAGACAACCACGATCAGCAACAACAGGAACACTAAGGTAACATTACAATTTGTACATTACAAAATTATGTCAAATAAAAGAACATGAATAGGAATTAAATACTTGAACTCCCTAAATTTTTCCAATGACATTTTTTTTCCTGAAGAATTCCAAATGTCTTATTAGCATTTGTAATTAATTCATATCAAGCTTTGAAATTCAGAGCAGCTCTTTTTAGAGCTGTTAAAAATATACTTTTTGATATTAGTTATGAAATGGTCATATCTTGTTATGAAAAACCAAATATAGAATGCAAACCCATTTCTTCAATCAAACTAACATAGTCTGTAAAATCTACTACGAACTAAATGTAAGTGCAGCAGTTTTAACATTATACAGAGTTGCATCCAGTGGACAACAGAGAAACGAGGCATTCAACCTAACTGGTCTGTGCTCCATTCAAGGCTTTTGTCATCCGACTTCATCTAGCCCTGTCAGTATGTCCTGCAATAAACTTATCTTCTAGTTAAATCCTTCAATGATTTTTGCATTAGCTAATCCCCTGCGGTGGAGCATTAGCATTGTTGGGTGAGGAAATTCCTCCTGGATTCTCAATTAGAGGTTGTTTTACATTCATGTCCTCTGAGTTTTAGATATACCCTTAAGTTAGAAACCTTTGCTGTGCATTTATTTGTCAAAACCTTTCATCGTCTTGAACATCTCTATCCCAGTTTTGAAATTATACTTCCAAGTCTGAGTCCAAATTAATAATGAACAATTCCTGTGGAACACCACTTCCTACCTCTTGCCAATCTGCATAGTTACCATTAGCCCATATCTTGATGTGTAGTCAGCTTGCTCTGCATTGTGCTACTTTGGCCCCTGACACCTCAGTACCCTAGTCATGAGTTTACTATGCAGTGCAGGTTCATAGTTCCTTGAAAGCGGAATCACAGGTAGACAGGATAATGAAGAAGGCATTTGGTATGCTGTCTTTATTGGTCAGTGCATTGAGTATAACAGTTGGCAGGTCATGTTGCGGTTATTCAGGACATTGGTTAGGCCTCTTTTGGAATACTGCATTCAACTCTGATCTCCCTGTCATAGGAAAGATGGTGTGAAATTTGAAAGGGTTCAGAAAAGATTGACAAGGATGGTGCCAAGGTTGGAGGGTTTGAGCTATAGGGAGAGGTTGAACAGGCTGGAGTATTTTCCCTGGAGCTTCGGAGGCTGAGCGGTGTCCTTGCAAGCGGTTTATAAAGTTATGAGAGGCAATGGATGGAGTCAATAGCCAAGGCCTTTGCCCCAGGGTAGGGGAGTCCAGGGTAGATGGCATAGGTTTAAGGTGAGAGGGTAAAGATTTAAAAGGGGCATAAGGGGCAGCTTCTTCATGCAGAGGGTAGTGCATATATGGAATGAGCTGCCAGAGGAAGTGGTGGAGGCTGGTACAATTACTACATTTAAAAGTCTTCTGGATGGGTACATGAATAAGAAGGGGTTTAGAAGTATATGGGCCAAATGGTGGCAAATGGGACTAGATTAATTTAGGCTATCTGGCTTGGACAAGTTGGACCATGGCGGGGTTTCCACACCTGTATATCTCTGACTCTGTGCCTTGTGAAGGGCCTTTTTAAAAATGAAAACATATTAAAACTACTGTTAATCTGTGTTGATTCCTCAAAGAACTTAGTAAGATTTAGTCAAGCCTGACCTTTCCTTTTGAAATCGTGCTATTTTTGTATTTTCACCTTCGTTTTTTTTTAATTACATTTTAGAGTGAAGATAATGTTACCTTTCCTACTGCTACTGTTAAGCCAACTTGATCTTTAGTTCCATAGACTAGTTTCATATTTTTAAATAAAAGAATACAAGAAGTTAAATTTACCTGTTCACCCAGAGTGAGCTCTGCCTTTGTAACTTTACTTTCCCATGTAATTCATATTCATTTAAATCACAGATGTAAATGAGTATTGGTCACTGGGATGTTCTTGAAATTGTACAGTTTGTGTAGGCATTTTTGTGTTTCTTCTCATTGTGCTGTAGCCATTTTATGATTCTAAACTAAGAAGCCATGGTCCATGGTGTCAGTGCTAGCTCTCTACAAGAGCCACAGGAATAGTTTTCCCCATCTAGTATGTCCAGTCCTGTCGTTAATTTGAATACTTTTATCAAATCTCCTCCTAGTCTTTTCTAACCTGTCCATCTACTTGAAGCTCCTAATCCCTGGAACATTCTGGTGAATCTTTTCTACACCCTTTGTAATGCTTTCACATCTTTCCCTAAGTATATTCTATTTGAGGCCAAGCCAGTGTTTAATACAGTTTAGGGGATTAAATCCATTTTAAAAAATACATATACTGGCATTTCCTGAAACAGCTTTGAAAGTAACGTCTAGCAATGATGCATATCAAGATGTTTATTTCTCCAAAATGAGGGTAATCTAATTAGAAATGAACCATAAACAATGTAAGTTTTATGTTCATTTTAAGTGCAGAAATGAATAGTATAACTTTGGTTTCCTTTGCTCTGGCTTAAAATAGTACTGCAATTTAAATCAGAATTTTGTATTGTTATCTTAGTTGAGAGTAAGATCATTAATAAAACTTTTGGAAATTTTTGCTTGTATCAGAGATGCCTGAAATAAGGACATGGGATTCTGGATCCAAATTTGGCATCTGCCATTTAGTAAAATCATGGGTGGCTTGTTTATGGTCTCAACCCTATTTACCTGTCTGTTCCACATAATCCTTGACTCCCTTGTCAATAGGAACATAGAACATGGATAATGTGTTTCTTCTCTTTTTCTATTTGCATGTACAAATTCCTTGAAATAATTAAACTTTATGTTTTAATTTGTTAAATCTTCGTTCCTTAGTTACAATATTTAGGCTTTCCATTGGGGTTTTTTGGATTAATTAACTAGTATTGTTTATCTACAAATATTGAAACTAAAAGGTCTCATTCATTCATTTTGTATAAAGGGTATCTGAAAATACAAAATAAGGGTAAAGTCACCTTAATCTTACCAGATGATAGAGCTGCTGTCTCATTAGAAAGATACAACTGGTGGTAGTTTAATCTGAAGGTCATCACTTCTCAGGCTAAGGGAGAGGCTGAGAAGAAGAATCCTTTATGGTATCCTTAGCCAGGGTGGGAATTGAATGCACGCTGTTTACATCGCAAACCAGCTAGCTAACCAACCCCCTCCTTTACAGCAGTCCCAATTAGGTAATAGTTCCTAAGAAAATAAATTTATGTTTGACACTATTTCCCATACTTTTGTTCCGAAAGACTGAACACTGATTTTCGTAACAATGTTTTGCCTGATTGGTGTGAAAATGATCCTGTTGCAATCGCTGACTATATTGTTGTCTATGATAGATTTCAGGTTTGACCTGAGAAAAGGGATAGGCCTAGAGGGAATTTAGAATTAAATACAGTACAAGTTTATAGGTCTGGTCTTGGTACCAAAAACACCTGTGTTCAAAGTAACCCATATATCTTCTCTCTGAACTTTTTATCAGAAGTACATTTTAAGAAAACTTGCTAGCACCATATTTATCAAAGTACTACGTTCTGCTTGCTACATGTTATAAGAACCACATGGGCTTTCCAGCTGTACATACATAAAAGTAGGAGTGGACTTATTTTTTCAGACTTACATTGAGGGTTGCACAATAGAATTAGAATTTTGGGGAGAATCAGTAAAAGTACTGGTCTCATTCAACCAGCTGATAATTTAAAGCAATACTAGAACTGTTACCAGGATGATGATCAAGTGAGGTGAAGCCATGGCTTCGCTTCTTTTAATCTCCATCTTGCTTGGTTGTGACATTTTTGTTTTAAATTTGAAACATGTGGCTTCTGCATTTCAATTAGATTTAGATAAATAGATCAAAAACAAAGGAGAGTTAATTCCAAAATTTTCTTGAGTGGAGTTTTATTATCATCTACCCTGAAAAATATAAAGTGCAACAACAAATATGTGCACACATGCAGGTAATGAACTTCTGAAGAAGTGGGGTTGTGGGGTGTCTAGTAAGACAGGAAGTTGAAGGAAAATGCAGTTACAGATCTTTGGAATCTTTTGGAATGTGGGAGTGCAAAGACTGGCGTCAGTCAGTTTTTAGCTGCTCTCCTTTTTCTTTTCCACTAGCAAAGTTTGCAGATATTAAGTTCTTGGTGAACGTTTGATTATTTTCCGAGTGCTTTTTCCCTGAATCTTTCATTTGAGATAGAAGAGCTTCCAATATCCTTGTTGTTACCAGTCTATGTTGCTTCTCCCTTTTGCTCTAAGGCTGTTGTTGATATACCATTCCTTTATGGATCTGCAGTCTTCGTCATTGTTTCATTTCAAGCTGAGTAATTGTACGCAATCTTTTATCTCTCAATATTTGCACTTAGCATACCCTCACTGACTTTCACGACCTTTTGAATAAAAAGATAATTCTGAGGCACCTAACTTCCTGTTTTCCAATGTGGTTTGTCAAGTGACCACAATGGTCTTTTTAAGTTAGCAGTGCCCTTTTTGTTTAAAAGACAATTTTTAAACCATGAAGATCTCAAATGATGGAAGTTGAATACAGGTCATTCATTTTCATATGATCATAATCTCTGCATTTGTCTCTCAGATGTTTTGTGCACAAAATATGGAAAAGATTTTCTCTGCAAACATCATTTGTAGCAGAGACAACAAGGTGCAGGGCTGGATGAACACAGCAGGC